GAACGGGGCCAACTCTAGAAGTCAGGCATGAATATTGTTTACAAAAATCAAAACATCTATAAGAAAAATGTTAACCAAGCTAAGCACCAGTGGCTGACACCTGTAATGCTAGATACTTAGGAGACTGAGATCTGAGGATCACCAGGTGGACCCATTGCAACAATGAGATGTACAGTCATTATGTCGAAAGACGAACTTTACAACTTTGGGGGGGGAAGGGGGAAGAGGAGGGAGTGGGGGGCGGAAATGGGAAGGGATGGGAAAGGGAAACAAAGGAGGAGGCAACAATGCTTGATAAGAAATGTACTCATTATCTTGCCCATGTAATTGTAACCCCTCTATATGGTATTTTCACAATAAAAAAAAATTTTTTTAAAAGAAAGCTAGCCCAGACAGGAAAGTCTGTGTGGGACTATAATCTCTAATTAACCACCAAAAACCTGAAGATGAGCAGTGGCTAAAGTGGAAAAATGCTGGTCTTAGTGCAAAAGCTAAGGATCGGAGCCTAGGCTCTGAGTTCAAGCCTTAGTAGTAGTGCGCTCGCGCGCACACACACACACACACACACACACACACACACACACACACACACACACACTAAGAAAAGTTAACCAAATTAAAACAAAACAGTAAGATGGGGAAGATGGGGCTAGGAAGGTGGCTCAGTGGTAGAGCGCTTGCCTTGCATGCCTGAGGCCCTGGGTTCGATTCTTCAGCACCACATAAGTAAAAAGAAAAAAGCCAAAAGTGGCGCTGTGGCTCAAGTGGTAGAGCGCTAGCCTTGAGCTGAAGAGCTGAGGGACAGCGCCCAGGCCCAGAGTTCAGGCCTCAAACCGAACCCCCCCCCCCCAAAAAAAGATAGGGAAGATGTGTTTGCCAATTATATAGCAAAGAATTGATATCCAGAATATGATAAAGAGCAGTTAGAAATTAAGAAAAATTACGATGAAGCTCTCACAAAAGAGTCAAACGTAGAATGATGCAGTTCATATAAGGATAAAATGTCAAGAACTAATCTAAAATAGGTACAACCTGACAAATTATTTGGTAAAATGCAAATTACATAAGTGTTTTAAAATTAACAAAATGACAAAACATTGATCATAGTATGGGTGGGAGAGATGAGTCAAGAATTCTCACACTCTCTTGATGAGAATAGTGCTACAGGGTTACAGCAGGTCCGTTTTATGGTAAAAATCATAGCTGGACATTCAGGTTAATAAAACAACTTCACTTTTGGTAGCTATCTGAAAAAGAAAGTATTCAAAAGCATTAGAATATTATGTTTTGTAATAGCAGAAGTTGGAAACACCTACACACCTACTAATGGAGATAATTATAAGAATTTTAACATGTATTTTTAGTACAGAAGATTATGGAACAGTTAAAAAGAATATCTATATGTTCTCCAGTGGAATTATCTCTGAAATGTATTGTTGAAGAATACAATTTGGCACTGATGGCTCATGCCTACAATCCTAGCTACTGAAGAAGCAGATCAGGATTATTACAGATTCTAATCCAGCCCAGTTAAAAAGTGCAACCCCAGCTGGTGCTGGTGGCTCATGCCTGTAATCCTAGCTACTCAGGAAGCTGAGATCTGAGGATCGTGGTTCAAAGCCAGCCTGGGCAGGAAAGTCCGTGAGACTCCTATCTCCAATAAACCACTAGAAAACCAGAAGTGGCGCTGTGGCTCAAGCAGAGCTCATGCCTTGAGCTGAAGAGCTGAGGGACAGCGCCCAAGCCCAGAGTTCAAGCCCCACAACTGACAAAAAAAAAAATGTGCAACCCTCTCTCAAAAATAACCATAGCATCAAGTATATACATTTTTCTAATTTGGAGAGGGGAAGGGAAATAACAGAATGCTGAAACAAGGATACAGGCTGACCCATGGTAATGATGAGACGTACAAGATATTATGTTGAAAACTGAACTTTACAAGTTGGGTGGGGGGAGTTGAGAAGGTGGGGAGGGAAGGGATGGTAGGGGAAAACAAAAGAGGGGCTAACAATGCTCGGTAGGCAATGTACTCATTACCTTACTCATGAAACTGTAAACCCTCTGTACAGTACTTTTACAATAAAAAGGCCAAATAATAATAATAATAATAATAATAATAGCAAAAATGGTAAGTAGATTGCCTGCTTTGCAAGTGAGAAGTGCTGAGTTCAAACTCCAGGACCACCAAAAAGCAAAAAAAGAAACACCAAAAACATCAGAATAAAATGCAAAAGGCAGAGAAACAATACATATAGACTATGCCCATTTTTATAAAACAATAAGAGAATAAGCTATAAACTTGTGAGGTTTTTTTTGTTTTTTTTGGGGGGGGGGGTCTGGTCGTGGGGCCTGAACTCTGGGCCTGAGCGCTGTCCCTCAGCTCTTCAGCTCAAGACTAGCGCTCTACCACTTGAGCCACAGCGCCACTTCTGGCTTTTTTCTTTTTGCTTATGTGGTGCTGAGGAATCGAACCCAGGGCCTCAGGCATGCAAGGCAAGCGCTCTACCACTGAGTCAACTTCCCAGCCCAAACTTGTGAGTTTTTAAGAATGTTTATAAAAATGCTGGAGACACTACCAGGCTTAGGTGAATTGTTGTCTCTGGAAATGACTAACATTTGTAGAAAAGAAACTTGTTTTGTTTTTATATTTCCTCATCTGAACTGGTTGATATTCTGTAATTTGTGGGATTTGAAAGAAAAATACTGATTTTTTCTGAAGCTATGTCAAGCTAAAATAAATAACCTAGACAAGTAATTTTATAAGTTGTTCATTTATTCACTGAGAGCTTAAATTCCTATATATCTCAGGCAATATGTTGAGGATTTGATAGATAGCAGTGAGTCAACCAGACAGAATTTCTGTCCCCATCAGACTTAACCTGTAGTAAATTCAGGTTTGTAGTAGATTCAGACTTCTCTGTAGGCTGTTCTTACTCTTATCAGATTCCCTGTCCCCAAAAGAAAAATACTTCAACTAATTCCTGGCACTTTGCTGACCTCCTGAAGAAGTCTGAGGAATTCACTATGGCAAGTGCATCTTTGCTTGACAACCACACTACAAATTACGAAAAGCAGCAAGGAAAAATAGTACAGTATTAGAAAATTAGCTATTCTTGAACTGCCCTAGAAACTCCCAAATTCCTTCTACAATAGTATCTATAGAATACCACCACCAACTTCAAGACAACTAATTTAGCAAATACATTGCCCGAACAGATGCTGGAAAGTCCGTGAGATGCTTGTCTCTAATAAACCACTCAGAAAAAATGCCAGAAATGGTACTGTGGCTGAAGTGGTAGAGCACTGGTCTTGCACAAAAGAAGCTGAGGGATAGTGTCTAGGCCCCTGAGTTCAAGTCTTAGGACTACCAGAAAAACAAAAACAAAAACAAAAACAAACAAACCCTAAACAAAATAAGAGAACACTATCCTTTCTAGAGGATATCCTTTGAGGTTTATTCACCAACCAGCACCCCAATACCATGCTAGACTTTAGCTTCAAATCTGCTCATACTGATAGCTAAAAATCGAAGCAGCTGCTAAGACCCAGCATTTATATCACGTCACTATTCCTACTTTCTTTTTTTGCCTTTAAAATTTTTTAAAGTCACAAACACCTTTTAATCTCCACAATGATGGGCATCATTATCTTAATCTACATTGCTTATGAACTCTATGACCTTCAACAATAAAACTATTATTTTTTTTTTTACAAATTAGGTGATGTGTACATTTCTTTCCTTTGGCTTCATGTCAGCTATTCCCTCTTTCTCTCTCATTCCCTCCATCCCATAAATGTCCTTGGGTTGCTTAGTTCACTTTTACCAATTGATAAATCAATCATCTACAGAATACATATACTTATGACATATGGCTTTTCCTAACTCAGAAGACCTCAAGCTGAGGTGGTCAAAACATTCTCATGAAAGACACATCATACTAATCATTAAGCATTCGGTTCCAACAAGCCAAAGTCACTCCTATGTGTGTGTCTCCTCATCTTCACAACCCATTTCTCTCCTCATGCTGCTCTCTGTCTGGCATGTTTGCCTGATACCTCTTCCTTGTCTCAAACTCATTAAAAAAATGATGCTCTGGGCAGACTTCTCTGAGATCCTTAAACCAAATCAGCTTCCTTCCACCTCACAAATCCATCCAAAATTGTTCATCCCTCTATTGTATCATGTAGTGGATGCAATGGCACACATATTTTTATTTATTTTAGTATATTATTTTCTTGACATCTGAGTTTTTCAGGCAATGTGTACCTATTACTAGTCCCATTACCAAAAGTATTACTAATATTAGGAGCACTATATGTGTTAAACCCTATAAATGTATTATGTGTAAAGGTCACAAATCCTAGGTGGTATAATTATTATTTATATTACTGAAATAAAATTATTTTATTTCAAAAATGTATACAATTCAGTATTTATAAAAATAAAATTAAGGGAAAAAATTAAGGAAAATTACTTCAGCTGTATAAACATTCAACTGTATAAATTTATTATTATTTATGCAGTTGAAAGTAAATTCCAGACAGAGCTGATTGGTAGGGACACTGAGAGTGAACATAAAGTCTTTTCCATTTAAGGCTCCTGTTTTAACCACTACTCTAAAATATTACCTTTAAATAAAGTAGAAAACACTTATTAAGTGCTTGTAAGGTGTGACTGAGCATACATACATTAGCTCATTTGTCTTCACAAACGCTGTGCTATATAAATAAGGATTCTAATCTAATCTAATTCTAAAATGTGACCAAGTGTCCGGATGGTTAAATGACCACAGAGCTATGGAGACTGGATTTGAATGCTGGTCAGTGTCCCTTCAGAGCGTGAGTCCTTATGACTCTGCTCCGTGTCCCAATGATAGTCTCTTCTTTACCATTTGTTAACATTGCACACGTGTGCAGGAATTCATTCTGTGGGAATAGTGTTGGATCATTACCCCTTCCAAAGGGAATCAACCAAACCCATCAGCTCCCTACGCACTCACCTTAGTACATGTGTGGAACCATTAATGGTGGTAGTAGAACAGGGGATGGTCTGGCCCAGAATGGAAGGTCTTCTGTAGCGTTCATCATCACAGCAGAGGATGATGAGGAAGGCACGTCGAAAAGACTTATTCAAGAAGGCGTAGAGAAAGGGGTTCAATCCGGAATTGATATAGCCGAGCCAGAGGAAAGCGGTCCACACCTGCCCAGGGACAGTGTAGTCTACGAAAGGATCCACGATATTGGTGACAAAGAACGGAGCCCAGCAGAGGCAGAAGCAGCCCATGATGATGCACAGGGTCTTGGCTGCTTTGGTCTCTGTCCGCATGCGGTGGGTGCTTTGCTGGTCCGCAGGCTGGGCCCTGCCTTCGGAAGGGGCCCCTCCCGCACGCTGCAGCATCTGGATCTGGCGCGCGTGCTCCTTGGCCGTGACATAGATGCGGTAATAGGCCAGCACCATGAGGAGGAAGGGTATGTAGAAGGCCACCACAGAGCAGGTGATGGCGTAGGGTTTGTTGACCATGAAGACACAGTACGTAGAGTTAGAGTTGTGGTTGAACTTCCTTTTCTCTATCTGAGAGTTGGAGGGAGGGAGAACATTGGGGAGGAAAGGAGGAAGAGAAGGAAACAAAGATGGAACAGGAGAAAAAATGAGGAAAAATGTAAGGAAAGAGACATTGAAAAGAAGAGAAGGGGAATAGTAAGAGGAGAGGGAAATGAGGAGGTAGCAGAAAAAGGAAAGAATGGATGAGAAGAAACAAAGAAGATAAGGGAAAAGAAAAGGAAGAAAGTTGATTAGCAAACCTTTGTTTTTCTTAACAGTCCTACAGCACAGAGAACATCGGTGGCAAAACCAAACAACAGCAGCAAGAAAAATAAAATGGAAAAACATGGACATATTCCAGGACTCAGAGAGCCTGTCTGTGTAAGGGAGGTAGAAGTAGAAATTGAATGGGGACAGGATCATTCTTCTTTCTATCTGCTCAAGCTCTCTTCTCCTTTCCTTGTCGACTGGCACACAATATACCAGTGTCCCTTCACAGGTTGGCTTACTCAGTACCATCAGAATCCTTTGTGGTTCAGATTTCCTTCTCCCGCTTTCATTTATTGGCACTAAATCTCTAGGCAGTGAGGCTCAGATTCCTGAACTTTTAGACACTATTTTTTTTTTAAAGAAAATAGTGAAATTTCCTAATACTCGCTATTTCCTAGATTCATTTCACTACTGACTGGGGGGGGGGGTCCCATGGAGGTTTTTCTCATTTTGATAATATACTACTCAAAGTAACTGATATAGCACAATGCTCAAGAAGGGACTAGGGCTTTAAGGGGAAGAAAACATGTAGATATTTTAGAATCATAAGAGAAAATAGTAAGTACTTCCTTAGTATCTGTATGCTCAACTTCCAAGTGTCTCTATGCCTCTTAGTAGCCATCAGATTGACTTCTAAGGTATCACAATGTTTGTGTTCAAATTACCCTTGGCTTACTTAAAAATGGCCTCAAAGCACAGAGTAGTGATACTGGCAATTTTATTAAAGTATACAGTTATGATTATTCTATTTTATTATTAGTGATTATTATTCATCTATTACTGTACTTAATTTATAAGTTAAACTTTACCATGGATATGTAAAAATGGGAAAACATTGCATACATATGTGTATGCGAATAGAAATAAACATGTACACACACATTCACCAACACATATACATTATTCTCAGTTTCAAGCATCTAGCCGAAGTCTTGCAGTATAAACCTCATGGAGGATTGGAGATTTTTTTTATATGGACTGAACAAGTAAAAATCATGTGGGAACTTGAACACTCTGAGCTGGTGCCTTGGTAATACTCATTACCTCCTATCCTATCCCAAACCCAGACCATTTAGCTATCCATCCCAATGACTCCATTCAAACTGGTGAGTTCAAAGTTATCAATTTCCACATGGCCATGTCCACGCTGCCTTTTTTGTTGTTGTTGTTGGTCAGTCATGGGGCTTGAACTCTGGGCTGGATGCTGACCCTGAGCTCTTCAGCTCAAGGCTAGTGCTCTACCACTTGAGTCATAACACTTCCAGTTTTCTGGTGCTTAGTTGGAGATAAGAATCTTACAGACTTTCCAGCTTAGGCTGGCTTTGAATTGCAAACTTCAGATCTCAGCCTCCTGAGTAGCTAGGATGAGAGGTGTGAGCCACAGGTACCTGGTCCCCTCTGCCTTTTAAATGAGTTATTATTCTTTTGACATATCTGATGCCTTAGCTTTCTTTGTGGATACATGTTTGGTTGAAGAAAGATAAGAAGTAGATAAATATTAAATGTATATACAGGCAGATAAATTATTTCAAAGTAAATATACCTGTGTAATTATTGAATATCTATAGAATATCACCAGTATCTGCAAAGCCTGTCATCACTCTGCTCAACTGTCACTATTAATATATGTCACCACGGATTAAGTTTGTTTTCCAACTTCATATCAAAGCAATCATAAATATGTACTGTTTATATATCTCCTTTAGCTTAATATATCATTCATATTATATTAGATACCATGGAGGCCTGCGAATTACCTTCAAAATAGTGAAATATGAAGTTATGTGAATCCATACTCTTCTTACAAGTTCAATTCGACTAAGTTCTTTTTAACTCTCAGCCTGCCCTGCTATCTACACCTCTGATCTGTGTTTTTTATGCCCCCTTGCCCTGATTTGAATTTCAAATCAAATTTAACCAAGTCTAAATTTATCATGAGCCTTCACATTCCAGGCTGTGGTTTGAACAGACATTTCCTAATGACCAGTGATGTTTACAATTTTGCTATTTTGATAGCCTCCCTTGGCAAGATATTATTCAGGTATTACACTATTTTAAAACATGGCTGCATCTCATTTGACTTTTAATAGTTCTTCTATATTCTGGCTATGTCTTTGTTAAATTTGGATGACGAATCAGTCCTGTTAGATAGACGTTCCAAATTTTTTGCTAGTACTTTTTGTTACCTGTTTAAGAAATCTGTTTACTCTTCAGAATATTCTCATACCTAACCATTTAAAAATGTTTTTGTAAAGTATATCTTAGCATGCTGTCATTAGTTTTTGCATCAAATTCTTCATTCCACCTGAAATCATTTTTTTCTAATGGCATAATGTAGGACACAGGATTACATTTTTACCTAGCACTACGGAATAAAAAGACTGCTTTCTCAGATAACCTGAAATACAATCATAAACCAGAGAACTGTAGGTGCATGGCACTGTGTCTGAATCTTTTACTTTTTTACTTTCTTGATTTATCTATACATTGTTCTGTTTTTGAAGGGGAGGTTATATTTTTGTTTTACTAATTTTTATAAGATTTTTATATTTTGTGCTGATACTTGGGTTTGAATTCAGAGCTTCAGCTCTGTTCCTTAGCTTCTTCATTCAAGGATGGAGCTCTACCACTTGAGCCACAACTCCATTTTTGGCTTTTTGCAGGTTAATTGGAGATAAATGTTTCACAGACTTTCCTGTCCAGGCTGATTTTCAAACCAAGATCCCCAGATCTCAGTCTCCTGAGGTGTTTTGTTAATATATAACTTTATTTTTGTTATTAAGATGCTGTACAGAGGGATTTTCTGTTTCATAAGTCAGGTGATGAGCACATTTGTTTTTGGATAATGTCATCCTTTCCTTTGCTTCCCCCAGTTTCCCCTTCCCCTACTTGTACAAGGGGATTTCAATTCAACATGTCCATTTGTGAGCACAATGCATCTTCATCAACTTCACTCCACTATTTTAATTTCTGTGACTATTAATTTTGGCTAGTTAATAATAAAAGTCTTTAAACTGTAGATTCCCTTCTTAAAGAGTCCTTTGGCTATTTTGTGTTGTTGTTATTGATCATGGGACCTGTACTCTGGGTCTGGGCACTGTCCCTCAGCTCTTCAGCTCAAGGTTAGTGCTCTATCAATGGAGCCACAGTGCCACTTCTGGCTTTTTCTGCTTATGTGGTGCTGAGGAATCAAAACCAGGACTTCATGCATGCAAAGCAAACACTCTACCACTGAGCCACCTTCCCAGCCCTGCTTTGGCTATTCTTATATCTCAATATTTGCATATCAAATCTGGACCAATAAAAATCTTCAAGGGTTTTGATTGGAGTTAGAATAAAATGATCAAGGAAAATTGACATTTCACTATGTCCAATTTGTGAACGTTTGAATGAATTCTTTTCTATAAATCTTGTACAATCTATCTCAGTAATAGTTTGTATTTTTCTGTAAAATACCATACACAATATTTGTTAGATTTTTTCCCAAGTGTTGTATGTCTTTCTTCCACTGTACCATATTAAATTCTTTTTCTGAATTGTTGCTGGTATGTAGAATTCAAGGAGTATTTGTTTTATCCTGACAATATGTTCTACAACTTTGCTACATTAGTTATTGATTTATATTTTATCTCTAGATTCTTTCTTATTGTCTTCATGAAGACTTGTGTGATCTGCATATAATGACAGTTTCATTCATCCTTTTCAATAGTATTATCTTTTTATATTGCTTTATTGAACTTGAAAATATCTCTAAAAAGGGAGTTAAGAAAGGGTAAAGGAGGATGAATTTGATCAAAGTACCTTCTATGCATGTATGTAAAAATCACAATGAAACTCCTTACTTTGTACAATGACTATATGCTATAGAAGTATCTGAAGGATAATTTTGAAACAGAAAATTATAACGATGGGCACACTTTTCTTCATTCTCAGTCTTTTGAGCAAGTTTTCAATAAGATCTTGTACTTTTTGTCAACACTTCCAACTTAATTGGGGAAAGTTCTCTTCCATTTTTGGTTTGACGAATTTTGTAGAATCAGGAATGTCTATTAAATTCATTAATGACAGTAATAGCGTATTCATGTAGGCCCACTGGAGTAGTGAAGTAAATGACATTGCATTGCATTTCTGGAAAAAGATCTCACTTGACAGTGATACTGTGACACACTAGATTCGTTTTAAGGACTGAAGGACTTTTCTCTCAACTGTGCATACTTTCAACTGACAGCTATTGGTCACCAAACTTTTCTATTATTAGCTCTTGATTGAAAGGCAATACTTAACCTGATGTTCTGTTCTCTATGCATTTCAGACACATAAATAAATATCAGGAAAATGTTATATGTACATATAAATTATAATTATGGAATCACAACATTATAGTTATGATTATATCATAAGTATATAATTTATGTGATTACATAGTTAATTATAATTATACAATTAAATTATATTACATGTAAATATATAATGAATAAAGATCAGAAAAATAAAGAACGAGAAAATTATAAATATTTATAATGTTATATTATGTATAATTATATGTATAATATATTAATCATATTACAATTACATTATATATTATTACAGTTATATTATTATTCTAATATACAATATAATAGCATAATATAATATGTATTAATATGTAATATGTAATAATATAAAATAATGTATAATATGTAGTATAATATATAATAAAAATATAAAATATAATATACTATATGTAATATATAATATAATTTATATGTATATATAGTATA